TAATGGGTCAATATCAAAATCTGACTATTAATTAAAGTCATCCTATTTTTTCGTTGTTAGCGAAAAATTCCTCCTGACGTGAGAACGCAGCAGTTTTCATTCGTGCAAACCGACACACGTACACGTTCGCTTTCTCCGTTGCTGACTTTAGTGCATGCTAGCCTTGTCAGCCATTACTCTCAGTGCCCGTTATTCACTGTATGTCCTGTTGGAACAAGGAATGGAATATTTATACTCCGAATGATATGAGACTGAGTAATGCAAATGAAAAAGGATGTAAACCGATGTTTTATAGATTGTTCAAAAGCGTTTGATAAAGTACAACACAAAAGAATTGCTTGAAATTCAAAGGGAACACTGACATTTTTATTTTCTTTTAAAGTGAGAGTCACCTTTTACAAGACCTGGGGGTGGGGGCAATCGAGGTATAGGGTTACGATCATTTCTTTTTATGTGCCCTGTCCTTTCAGGTCGTAGGCGATCATGGCTCTCCACCTCCCTCTATCCTTTGCAGCCCTCAACAAGTTCCTTCCCTCCGCCACCTCCCCCAGGTCACGTTCCTCCATCCATTTGCTTAAAGCCGCTAGGTATGGCATGCGTTGTTTTATCTTGTCTCTCTTTTCCCCTAATCGACCCGTGGGTATCAGATTCTGCAGGCCCTCCTTTCTCATTACGTGTCTCAGAGACTCCAGCTGCCTCTTCCTGATGTTAAGTTTAATCATAGTCCTTGTTTGCATCCTCTCTAAGACCTCACTGTTGCTCACACGCTCGGTCCATGATATCCTTAGCATACTTCTGAAGAACCACATCTCCGTCGCCTCGAGTTTAGGAAGTCATTTGTGCGCATATGAGTGGAATATAATGATTAATCTTAGTCTTAAAACAGGTAAAGATTGAAGTGATCGGAGAGACATCCTGTTGGGAGTTGATTCCACAGAGCAGTGTTTCGCGCGAAGAGGCTGTTCGTTTGGAACTCACTTCTCACCGATGGAATAGGGACGGAATGTGAGTTGTTTGCAACTATATAAGCGGCATGGCATGTTCCTGCGATGAACGTTTGCCTTGGCGGGAATGGAGAATGTGGTTCGTCCGAGCTGTTTCCATGGAAGTAGTGGTAAAGCAGCGAGAGGTTTGCCACATCCAGCCTATGAGGGAGGAGTTGAAAGGTGGAGAATAACTCGTCAGACACAAGGGCTCCAAGACGCTTATATAGGAATCAAGTGTCGCTGCCGACACTTGAGTTTGAACATAGATCGCCAGTGAGCAAACACAGACGATCCCATTATTGATTTAAGTACATCACGTGGCCATAGATGATCGTTATTTCTACTCTATCCTATATTACTATTCAGATCGTTATTTCTAATCTATCCTCTATTAAAATATGAACTGCTATTCTCTACTTTAGTCACTATACTATTTCTCTATTCAGATCATTATACGGGTTACTTGTCGGGCGAGTATAATCGAGCAAGTACTATTAGTGCGAGATTATTCGAAAGCGTCTGACACTAGTATTGTTCAACGGCGTACTATAGTTGTATCGGCGATTACAAAGTCTCTGCGACAACAAGCATTGCAAAAGTGACAACGAGTATTCGTTGGCATTACACGAGTGGCAACGAGTGTTCGTTGACATCACAAAAAACTCTATCAAGGCTGGAAAGTGGAGTATTGGAAGCTCCTGCCCAAATATGACAACAGTACTCCGTTTTCGGCCTGACCTGCAACTTGTAAAAGTAGAGGATATCGGGAGGAGTCAGACTAGAATAATAAATATAGAAATTAGCTCATCCCAGGACGCGTCGTCTCAATGGACTTTATCAGCCTTTACAGTGTGGAGATCTTGAGAGAATAAAAATTCCTACTCGAATTTATTAATGGCAGCCACAATCTCTACAACATATGATATTCAGATATCAGCAAACAGAAAAGAAATCTGCAGGAGCTCCCACAGAAGGTAGCAAAAGAAGTCGAGTAGAAAACATTAACCATCCATTATAAGAATTTATGGATGTCAGCAAAAGGAACAGCCCTAGATGCGGACTATGAACTGGAGACAACAATATCGTGCATAAATCTAAGCCAATTATTAAGAAACAAGAGAATTCTGTGAAAAACAAAGAATATAGTGCTGAACTCTTATGCAATATTGCTCTTCTTATATAGCTATGAATGCTGTACAATCTCATCAGAGAATAAGATTTGCCATAGTAGAATCTTTAGTCAGAACAGTTACCATGAAATATTTATAAAAAAAAGGAAAAGGGAAGTTACCTTGCAGCGGTGGGGGAAGTGATTGAAGCTGAGATGCAGCTCCAAGAACAATAACACTGAAGATTCCTTTTTGGATTTTCTCAAGAATCTTTAGGTGTATAGCAAAATCCCCAGATCAGATGTGGCAGAAATTTTCAATGTATGGACGAATACTTTTCTCATATATATATGTAAAATACATTCTAGAGAGAGGAAATCGTCTAGAACAACACAGCCAACTCACATTCCTTACAGCAAAAGCAGCAATCGATTCGATATAATCGTTCCACTTAGTGTCTGTTCAAATCATGAGACCAAGAAGGTACAACGAGTCACTCTTCTGGAGATTAGCATCAGTCAGGCAAAAAAAAAAAAAAAAATAAAAAGAAAGAAAAGTAGTTCTCTAGGACGATTAAAAGAAAACAGTATGGAACCATCTTGATTCCTGAATAATGATTCTATGCATTCTTTTAATCATTTTACTCCAAAGCATGACGGGAAAGCCACTGGTACGTAGGACGTTAGTTAGAGTGAAGATGAGAGAAAAATAACTGGGTAAGCGGACTAGAGGAAAGGAAAAAGGCTGAACAGCTTTCAAGAAGATAGAGGATGGTGACTGACGTTGCATTTAAAATTCTGAAGATTCTAGTTATCAGTAGACCAATACTCTTGTATAATCACTGTTACCTCACTTGTAACATAAACATCGTGATTTGATTCAATCACCATCCCTGGAAACCATTAATAAATAAAAGAGATAGGGAAGATTGAAAATAGGGAGTTCAAGGTTCAAGAAGATAGAAGATGGCGATTGACATTACATTTACATTTTTGAAGATTGTAGTTATTAGGGAAGCAAGTAAACGGAAGAGAGTTCCACAAGCGGGAAGTGCGAGAAAAGAAAGTATAAGTGACGGGTACATTTAACCAATTCAACAGTAATAGGGTGGGACCTTGATGCCAGTCTGATAACACATTGAAACTCAAATAGACCGGACACCAGGGAAAAAAAGCTCTTCATAGCAGTTGCGATGAAATTTGTAGGAAAGACAGAAGAAAAGCATTTCATGTTGGTGAGAGAGGGACTGAAGACGAGATTCCAAGTCTGGATCAATTGCATTGCAGATCCTTGTTTGGATTTTATCAAGAACCCCGAAATGAGTCACAGGAGCAGCAGACCAGATGTAGCAAGAGTATTCAATGCACGGGCGAATGATAGATTTGTAAATGTGCAAGATGGACTCTGACGAGAAAAACCTTCTTGCATAACTCAGTGACTGAACTTTATTTGCATTAGATACAGCTACTGATTCGATGTCAGTCAGTTATGTGCCATGATACACGCTTAGGCGATCATGTATCTTTCGATACATGATTAACGAGGCAGATTTTTCCCGCAATAGGTTGCCATTTCTGTCTGCAGTAAACCAGTTGCCATCCGAACCAGGCCTGCTCTGCTACTTACCCGTAGCTGGAGGGAGAAGAAGAGGATTTATACCTTTTCCAAGGGTATTTGCATGTAAGTGAATGTAATGGATTCGACAGGAATGTAGTCGTTTAGTCGTTCCATTTCAAGTCAGTGTGTCGCTTTCCATGAGTCTAGCATCAGCCATGCTGATGACGGGCAGGAAATATTCTTGATGGTCGTTGAATGAGAGCAGTTTTGTTTGGGTGGCATTAAAATTTACGAGCTATTTCCTGTCACATTTAACCACTGACTGGAGGTCCTTTTCAAGAGCCGTTGTCAGGTTAACTTTGTTGGCTCTGGCGGAGTTACGATTAAGACAATTTATGGGTTAGAATATGTAAGTATAAAGGTGGACATTGAAGAAGTCAACACCCAAAGACGACAGTTTGTTTAATGCCCGTCGAACAAAAACACAAAACGCCCTGACTATATATATATATATATATATATATATATATATATATATATATATATATAAAAAAATCCTTAAAATCCATTATGTGGTAATAATTTTATTTCATGGAATATTGTCCAATCATTCAGACCGATAATAAAATGAAAATGTATTTTTGGTCTGAATGATTGGGTATTAGCCCATAAAATAGAATTATTACGACATAATGGATTTTTAAGATACTTATTCATTATTGTTATAATGTTGCCCTGTTTTTACATTGAGCCGTCTATGGGTTCATATCTTCCTTGAATTATACGTACAAAACATCATTGGATGTTTATATATATATATATATATATATATATATATATATATATATCCATTAGAGTCACTTACATGCTAATACCCTTGAGAAAACTATGAATCCTCTTCTTCTCCCTATAGCTATGGGTAAATAGCAGGACAGACTGGGTTCTATAGCCTTGGCTGGCAACTGGTCTAGGAGAAGAACAACTCTCAATTCAAAACCTGCGGAGGGTCGTTTGGGGACATTGTGGCAAGTAGTGCCCCAGGTCTCTGAATTCGGCCCTTCAAAATGTGTGGATGGTTCTCCATGAAATCTTCACCACTATAATCAAATCTCATGTGCTGTTGTCTGGCTGTCGGTTTCCTAGGAACTGATCTCATTAACCCCCATACGTCGAATTCGACCGGAAAATCGATCGAGAGTAGAATATATATATATATATATATATATATATATATATATATATATATATATATATATATATATATATATGTAGAAGACCATCACCAAGGGGTGCCAGTCTGTTTCAGACTGTCGCTTCCAGTTGTTGATTTCAATATACACATTTATAC